TCGAGTTGATAGTTTTAAAAATCATCTTCATTTCAGCCTAAATACGAAAAGCAGAAAAAAAATCAGCTAAAAATTTAAATTATTTAAACATAAATTCAAATATACCCCGGCTTCTTTTACATTAGCCTCTTCTGTTGTCAAATTATCATTGTTCTTAGAATTGTTTTGTATTGATTTCAATTTATCATCAGTACAATGCACTGGCTTTTTTCCCTTTGATTTTGATGACGATTTTCTGATTTTTCTTTATTTTGCAAGAGAATCAGCATTGAACTTCTTCAATGATCTTGGTAGTCATAATCTCTCAAATCGGTCAAGTCTTAAATATTAAAAAAGAAAATTAGTTATTGTAAATATAGGATATTAATATATGAATTTTTACCTTTCCTGTAAATCTTCATTTTCCTTGTCGAATTCATCATTTATTTTGGCAAAAAATCAGTTTTTTCTCAAGAGATCAGAATTTTGTCACTTTAATTTCTCGATTCTCTTGGTAAATTCAGCAAGTTTTTCTTTTAACATTTGATTCTTTATGTAGGAATAAAGAAAATATATTGTTAATTATAAAATAATAAATAGAAATAAATTAAAAATAATATACCTGATTCTAAATTGTTCGAATCATCAAGAATCTCAAATTCAGCTACAGCTGAAGTACTTGCCGTTGGTTATCGTTGAAATTTTAATGGGAGCTGAATTTTTTTATATTGTCTTTGCATTTCTCCTAAATCTACGTCTATAATTTGAAAAATTATTTAGTATTAATATAAAATAGTATTATATTATGACTAACTTATGATCTAAAACAACCAGTTCATCCTCAGACAATATTATATGAACGTGTTTTTGTCTTTTTTCTATTATAGAAAAGCAAAAAAATCAGTTAACATTTGAAAAATCAGCTGGTTAATTAATAAAATTCAACTTACGTTCTGGCTCTTTATCAGTCGATTTTTTTCGTTAGAGACATTTTATTAGTGTTGCTGTTGATTGAGATTCTATTATATAAAAACAAAAAAATCAGTTAACATTTAAAAATCAGCTGGTTAATTGATAAAATTCAACTTACATTCTGGCTCTTCATCAGCTGATTTTTTTTATTAGAGGCATTTTGTTAGTGTTGCTGTTGATTAAGATTCTATTATAGAAAAGCAAAAAAAATCAGTTAACATTTGAAAAATTAGCTGGTTGATTGATAAAATTCAACTTATGTTCTAGCTCTTCATCGGCTGATTTTTTCGTTAGGGCATTTTGTTAGTATTGCTGGTGACTGAGGTTTTATTATAAAAAAGCAAAAAAATCGGTTAACATTTAAAAAATCAGCTGGTTGATTAATAAAATTCAACTTATATTCTGACTCTTCATCAGTTGATTTTTTTTGTTAGGAGCGTTTTAGTGGTGTTGCTAGTGACTGAGATTCTATTATAAAAAAGCAAAAAATCGATTAATATTTGAAAAATCAGCTGGTTGATTAATAAAATTCAACTTACGTTCTTTTTGTTCTTGTGATGATTTTTTTGTTTAGCATTTTGGTGGCATTTTGTGAAAAGAAAAATTGTAAAAAGAAGAAATTAAAAGAAGAAATTTGATTGTAGAGATAAAGTTTGATTTAAAAAGATAAAGTTTGAGTTGAAATTATTTTTTTAAGAAGTGGAAAAATCAAGCTTATTTATATAAAATTTTCATATATATGTCAGAAATAAACTCAAATAGTTATATCAAATAATACACATCAGTAAGTTAAAAGGATGCAGGTCAATACACTATAAAATTAAACACACTAATCATTGCAATAATCATCACCATTTAAATATTAAAGCAATACACTGATCACTTAGCATGATAATCATTGCCATTTAAAGAATTAAGCAATGCGTTACATAAAAATCATAAATTTAACGATTCTTTTAAACTCTTTTAAAATATTAAAATATAATTTTATTAATATTGATGACAATGCTAAACTAAAGTTCAAGAGTTATATAAGAAATTATAATTAAAGATAATATTATTTTAATATAAACTATTTAAAAAATAAATAAGTTGATAAAATATTTATTAGTCTTGTTAAAACATGAAATAATGTGAACTGGTTCAATAATAGAATCAACAGCTATAACAGTAAATATCGAAATACTTTTCATATGTGGGCAATCATATTTGAATAGTCTATATGAATTATTATATTTAAATTTATACCATTGAACCAATACTAACTCTTATTCTTTATGACTGGATATCTTTAAACTGAATAACATTAAGAGCTGAAATTGATATGATATTTAAAGATTTATAAATATTGAATTTTTTTAAAAAATACAAATTTAATAATACTAATTTACCTTAGCAAAACATGTTCTATCGACTGTGTTATAATTTTCAACTTCTTTCTCATTCATATTAACTGCCACATTGCTAAAATCAGATGCATTGTAATAATTACTTTTAGCCTGTACAATGCCAGTTCCTCCAATAGTTGTATGAGTATACCATTTAATAAAAATTGTTTCAACATCTTTATTGGTAATGTCTTCAATAAGATCAAAATACTGATTTAACGAATCGATAAATACATCAAACGCTTTCTCAACTTCTGATACTAATTGATGTGTGATCTTATATTTATTGACAAATTCATTAAATTTTGACAATATGAAACTGCCTTCAATACTGCTTAATGTTGAAGCTTGTTGACGATGTTTTTAAAAGAATGTGAAGTTATTATTTTACGAAGATAATCAAGGATGCTATCACGTCATATCTAACAATTATTAAATAAAATTAATATTAATTAAATAATTATTGCATGAATAAAAACTAGAAGACTATAGTGTAGAATATCCAATTTTTGGTTGTTAGTCAGATTGTTCCTATCATAGTTGCTATTATTGATTCAAAGCATTTTCAATATAATTCATTTCACTTTGCATATTAAAATTGTCATAGTATTCATCACCTACAAAAATGAAAATATTAGTCTTAAGAATAAATATATAAAAGTTGCTTAGTAAAAAGACTTTTTTAAGAATTTTTAAATTAATCCACCTTATTGAGAATTCAATTTATTGTATTCTGATGATTGCTTATTCTATAGGGAATCTTGACATATGTTTTATGTAATGACTTATAAGTATCAGTTATAAATCCATTAATCGCTCCATATTCTCATATGGTATTGATAATATGATAACATCAGTTATGCAGCTTTGAATACTTCATTCTAGTATTTACTATTGGTGTAAATAATGTGATAAACTTTCTTACCCAATCAGTAATCATCTCCTGTAATGATGAAAAATTAAATGTATTATATAAATTAATTAATTGAATATAAAAAGAGTATATTGATTACCTGAAATTTATCAAGTTCAGAATCTGTAAAAGATTCCTTATGACTAAAAATATACATTCTGTTTAAAGATAATTACCGCAATTAAAAAAAAATGGCGCAATTGAGTTACAACTTGTAGCATAATTAAATTTCTTTATGACGCAATTAAGTTGCAACTCAATTGAAATTTGAAAATAATTATGGTGACTATCTTTAATTCTGTTCCAAGATACAAATAAATCTATGAGTTTACTATCATATTGTTTTGCTTGCCTCATTATCAAGTATGTATTATGTTTTGCAATTATTAGACCATCGACAACAAAACGAGTTGCTTCATCATACTTCTGAATTCTGATACTATAAATCGAGTAATATTACCAAGGCTGTGTTTGAAAGATTTAAGCTCAGGAAAACGTGAGATTGCTGCTAACTGTTTGTCGAATTCATCAATATTTTTTTAACACAGTATAGTCGAATATAATCTTGAGTAAAGTTTACTTGATAGTTGAACAAACCTAGATCACAGTGATGCATGCGATCTGGAACAGTTGCATTATAGATGTTCATTTCACTATAAAAATTTAATAAAGGTAATACAAGTAAATAATAAAGTATTTTTTATGATTTGATAATATATATTACTTATTGAAATTTTCGGAAAATATGTCGCATTGAATGAATAGAATATTCATGATAAAGATTAGCATTCAAAACTATTTGCATATTATTAGGTGTTCGTAACCCTAGTTGAGATTGTGTTAAATTAGGGTTGTTCAATTCATTAATTGTTACAGTACAAATATGATAGGGTCACTTGCAACAGGATGAATTATATTTTAGTGTTAATGCTGCATTTTCGGATAGATTACTAATGAATTCAAAGAGAAAAGAAAAGACCCAAATTATTTGGGTATCTGTCATAATATCCAAACTATTGCTTTCTAACCTTTTATATATTAGTGTGTCATGACATCGAAACAATATTGATATAACATTCTTTTAACAGATGCGAAATTTTTTTATTGTCTTTACGATTATGAAGCGGTTTCAACTTCGGCAAGAATCTCAACAAAACCTTTGCATCACGTTTGTTTCTTTGGAAATTTGGTATATTTTCTAAAAATAAATAAATGGGATACTCTGTGCTTTTTCAAGATTATCCAACATGATTACATTAGAATATATGATTATTGATAAGACTTTTTTGGTTTTGTTTTGATTGATGCTTGAACACATTCCCACTACATTTCAGTCCATTGTTCATCATATACACGCTCACGTTTCTCATTGTCATTAATAATATACTTTGTTAAGAAATCCCATTGACAGTATTTCAAAATATCAGGATTGGATAAGAGCTCTTTAACAGTGTCAAAGATAAGGCAATGATAGAGATAGTATTCCTTCTCTTCATACTTTAGGATTTTTGTTTTAAGATAAAGTAAATGTTCAATATTCATAAAATTAACAAATTTGCATCCTTATATTGTATTTTTAGGCAGAATAGCATTTTCTCTAAGATGATTTCTATAGAACTATCTCAATATATCATTTTCAGCTGAATCAGATAAATGATGTTTTGATACAAGCTCTATAAATTCAGAGTAAACAGCATCCAGAAAATGTGTAATATTTCAAAATGATTTAGATCTTGTGTCAATTGAAGTTATTTGTTCAATTTGTTCAGGACTATATAGGATATAATTAAGATATGCTCAAAAATAAGTTCATCTTCTGATTCAGATTCAGATTCAGTGATAGATTTTATCATTGTGTGTTCATCGACGAAAAAACTGTCATTATCTATATCACTGTCATCTTCCATCACTTCAACATTAATTTCATATTGTTCTAAATCATCATTCTTATAAAAAGAAACAATTATATAATATTTTCAATTGCATGATAATAATATAAAAGTTAAAATATATTTACTATTTTTTCGAATTGTTCAAACTCTCCACAATCACTCTCTTTATCATCATACAAAATATCCATTTTTATACCATCAGGACATTTGTCTACGTCTTTCAAATTCTCATTAGGAGAGTCACCTAAAATGCTATTTAATATCTTCCAATATGCTTGGCCTTTATATGATTTTGTATATTCGTGAAGGGAAGCATAGCGTGAGAATATTCTATTATATCATTGATATGAACAATTGAACATATTTATATATGTTGAGAAAAGGTTTTTTAAAAATTTCAGTTAAATTACAAATTAAACAAAAATAAATATATTGATATTTTCTTGGACTTTAAATTTTATAAATTTTAAGATGGATTATCAAAAGAATACAGAGAGAGTATATTTAATATAATAGAATTTTGATAGTATTCATAGCTTAAAATAGTTTAATATTACTAACCTACATTAAATTACTGGATTTATAATCACGTGATTTATCGCGTTTATAATAAATTTGTGATTTCTCCCTAATGTACATAAAAATAATAAAAAAAATAATACATACATATTCATTATCTTCTTTAAAATAGAAATGCATGGAAACGAGCTGTTCGAAGCTCAACGTGAAAGAATTATCAGTGCATATCTGAGTGGTATTAAGCAAACGGTTATTTCAACTCAGCTTGGTATTCCTACTAGCACTGTTAACGATACTATAAAAAGATACAAAGAAACAGGTTCTGCAATACCTGAGAAGCGTCCTGGTCGTCCTAAAATACTTAA